TTGAAAAAAAAACACGCACTTGCGTGTTTTGTGAAACTGCTTGCGACATTATCAAATTTAGCTGGTGAGCGTAGCAATGCACAAAATAGGCCAGGGGATACTTTTCTCTTATTCTTGTATGAACACCGGCGTGCGTACCGCTCATAACAACCGCGCCATCGTAAGCTTGAGCAATCAATTTATTACAATTTTCTTTCAATAATGGATCAAGTACGGAACGAATAGAATGCGTTAAAGACTCAGCATCGTGCTTTTCCGGATTTATGAATCCCCAAAATCTTTCCACAGGACTGCCTTCGTGTACGTAGCGCAAGACAACGACCATTTGAAATTTTGAAGAGACATCTGTAGTTTCATCTGCCATGACAGCAACATAATTTGACTGATTAATTTCAGTTACTACTTTGTTTCTGCACACTTCAAGCATACACCGTAGAAGATCATTTTGTATATCTTTGGAAGTTCCTTTAAAAATGGTAGCCTTTTCTAGATGTTCTTTTAATATGTCATCAAGATCTGCACTAAAATTTATGAGTCCGCGAAACACATCAGGGTTGTCCGAATTTTCTGTCTCGTCGTGTCCGCGAAGTGCTAATTCGAAAGCTCCGCAAAATTTTATGCAATCTATGATTCTAGATAATACATAACGATTTTTCGTTACCTGTTCGTTGTGTTTCCGTATATTATCCCAATATGTAGAATCTAACTGACTTCTCACGTTTATTTTACCTAATAGGGCCAAGCTAACTTCATTCGACAAATGATTTTTTGTTATTTCATGTCTCTTGATACTCTGAGTTAAATGACCTAAATCTTTCACACCGTATATTGTCCATGTTTTATCCCCACCGAAAAGTAAGCACGGAAAACAAAATAGTGCATTTTTTATATCACACCCGCACATCCACTCTGTTTTTGTGTATACGTTATTGTTAAATTGTCTTTTATAACTTTTACTTCGGCTTATTCCACTAATTTCAATATTTAATTGTGGTGTTGTCCTACCTAATTCTTTTATTTTTAGTTTATCCTCATACGACAGAGAACCAAATGAAGTTTTTTGTAAAAACGAAACACTATTCATTTTAATAACTAATATCCGTAGACGCCTAAATGAAAATATTCACCCGTGCCACTCGCAGAAATAAACCGCCACGTACCACGCCCTATTACGAATACTACTGCAGCAGTGGCAGTGGCTGTCGTTGTTGCAGCCCAGGTTGCAGCCACTAAATCCCATTCGTGTACTGGGTCACGTGCCTGTTTAGCCAATAAAAACAAAGGTCGCATCTAACTGTTCGCTGACATAGACCATCGCCTGTGCACACATTTTGTATATGAGGTTGCATATATTAAGGGGCGTATCTCGCGTCGTAATATATGTAATATAAGCTCCTAGATTTATTTTAGCGCGAGAACATTTGGATTCTTTAAATATTATGTTGATATTTAATATGATTAAATACATAAAATTTTATGTGTTCTGCAGCTCCGCAGCTCTTATGGTAAAACTGCCACTGGACTTGGCACTAATAAATAGACGAAACTTAACTTTTCTTATATTACTGTATGGACTTTACTAAAATACATTTCTTGAATTGACATTCCACCCTAATTTATTATATATATAATTTATGTGCTTAAGG